GAGTCTCCAGAGATGGCCGACATCGCAAGCACAGACCAAACCCGATCGGAGAAAACCAAAGCCAGGGCAAAGGACTTGAGTAGGCTCGGGCGTCGTTGGGACGGTGCTGTGGCGGACAATTTTGGGATTGGCAGTGGAGCCCGCAATACAAGCCAAATTCAAACTCATGTCTTGGAATGTTGAAGGGTTGACAAAGCTCAAAGAACTAGGGATTGTGAAGTACATGACCCGCTTCGAAATCGATGTCTTGTTGCTCCGGGCAGACCAGAAAAACCAACTCTCCGATGTGTATGTGTCCCATGGTTCTTACTTCATCCTCTCCGGCAGATCTCAAAACTCCACCGAGTGGTATGGTCTGGGATTTGTTGTTTCTCGGCACTTTCGCCACCTCCTCGGAGGGTTTTGCCAACAGAACCAGAGACTTGCAAGCCTGAAGATCAACGAGTCGAAATGTCAAACCGAGACTCTCTGATAGAATTCTGCACTGTGCACGATCTGGGGCTTGCAAGCACTTCTTGCAACAAGCCCGGTGATCAGAAGGTCACATACCCCGAACCGGGAGTCCCAGCTCTCGCACCTATCTGTGCCAACAAATTTGCCGTGTTGGATGTACCGCTTACGTCACCGCGCGACATGAACGGAGCAGGCAGTATTTTCAGTGATTGGTTGGCCCCACTGGTTTCCAGCCACTTTCTCTTTACAGCCATTGCACATGTTCGTCCATGTCCCATGTCACAGTCACGTCTGCAAGCAAGCTTTGCATATGGATTGGTCGGCATTACAAGACCCTACTCTCAGACGCACGTTCTCTGAGCATCTCCTCGAAACTGAACCATGATGAGCTTGTTTATGTGAACCATTTCTGGGATTGTGCTTGTTCTTCAGTGTCGGCAGCACTCTTGCAATATGTACCCATTGAGAGCGCACGAGAGCCAACAAACCATGGATCAGTTCCCGCGCACTGGACATCTCGAACCAAAGGCGCGAAGCTCGAGTCAAAGGCATCTGGAACGTTGAGAAGCAATTGCAGCAGGAGGTCAAGAAATCAACAAACACAGATCGCTCCAAATGGCTCGAGGATTTAGCCTTTTCCGGGGATCAGAAATCAATTTAAAAACTCCCGCGCGGGGTCGAATCACCAAGGAGGGGCGACTGAAAAACAATGTTTGATGGGGAGTTTGTCTCATCTGAGCGCCGGGCGCATAGCCTCTTTCAAGTGCTTGACCTGCCAAACAGGAATGCAAGGAGCCCCTGACTGCTGGAGTACAACGGAAAAATGATCACCAAGCAAGTCCACAGACTCAGGCAGGCGGAACTTAGAACTTCGCACTGGCTTCCGGGGGCCTTGGTCTTAGCGGTCTTCAGCTCGCTAGCAACCTGCAGAACATCCCAAGCAACTGCTTTCCTTGACCAAAATAAGGTGACAGCGCGTCTGGAATGCCGAGGCCTGGCTGGCCTCCTTCCTCGAAGAAGTTAGCCTCGGAAATGAGGGGGACACGGAAACAAGAAACCTTCGAGGCTGCAGGAGGGCGTCAAGTTGCTGAGCACTGGGTGCTTCTTTAGTGTCCGTAAGCTCGGTGCGGATCTTCCCTTCCTGTGGAATATCTCACCAGAATTCTGTCTGCCGAACCATGTTGACAGAGCAAGCACGGCTGTCATGCTGCGAGCCAGAAATCTGGGGGACAACAATTGGCTCAACATCAACGAATTGATAGCTGCGCTTGCCTTCTTCGCAGCTGCATCCCTTTCCGCCTGGTTGCGGCTGCACACGACATGAGGTCAATGACGCAGACAACGGACCGGTCGCATGCCTGCATCTGCTTGTCAAGCTCCCTGGCCGTCATAGCATGACAGTGATGACAACTCATCTCGAAACTCTTGTTGGACGAACTTGGGTTAGCAAGGCATCACAACCACCCCTGTCCTCACTGTGATTGTGAGCTCCTTCTGTTGAAGAGCACACATCAGCGCTGAAGACAGATGGGGGTGGGCAGTGGGCAAAACCGGGCACAACAACAACGGGCCTTCTTCTGTCTGGCTGTCTCCTCAGCATCCTTCTCGTTCTTTTCATTTCGCTCTTGCTCTTCCCTGACAACGTCTGAAGCGGAATAAGCTGTCGTCGTGCACTTAGCTGTCGCTGTCATTGCCCATGGCATCATGGCATGGGGGCCACACTTTAGCATTTCTTCCAGCTTCCGGACCTCCTGCGGTCGGCAGAGTGGTATCAGTCGCCGTGGTGATGAGAACCGTAGTCGTCGTAGTGAGCGAAAGAAGTATAGTAGAAGAAGAAGTACTAGTAGTAGCAGCAGAGGCATCAGTAGCAATATCGGCGGCAGTAGCAGCAGCAGCAGTAGTAGGAGTAGTGGCAGCAGTAGCAGAGGGGAGGGGAGGGAGGAGGATGGAGGGAGGGGTGAGGAAGCAGCAGCATGACAAGGCAGTAGGAGCAGTACTAGTAGCAGCAGTAGTTTTGGGGCTTACTAGTAGGAATTTCGGCAGTCAGCAGCAAGCAGTTCGGTGTACGCTCTATGTGCGGCAGTTTGCACACGTATGCAAAAGGTAGTTCTGTCTTGTCCAACTTTTTGTTCGTCTATATATAATTATAAGTATAGTTATGTAGATGCTTCACAACATCTTAGGCAAACCATACTTTAGAGTGGAACTACCTTCTCCATCAGCACACCCGTCAAACCTGGCCTTCGGCTGCTTTCCTTGGCTGGAACAGCAGTGGCTCTTGCGAAGCACACAAGTGGCATTCTGCGTTGCAACAGCCCGCTGGCTCAGAGCCCTCGGATTGGAGATTGTGCACAAACAAGCTTCTTCGCAACTGCGGCATCTTGCAGCGCGCGAACTTGTTCTGCCTCCAAAGCTTGGAAGCCCTGCTACAAACCCTTTCATCGAGGACATAGAGTCGTGCCCACTCTACAATGCAGCACGCGCAACAGCCCGAGCCCGCCTGTGCATCTTCTGCGGCCTGCCTGCTTGGCCTTGCATGCCTTTGCAAAACTTTCCTACGACTGGTCACAGTGCAGGACTCGCTAATCTGCGACCTTTGCAGTGGCCTGAATGTGCATGTGTACATGGGGCATGTGCTTGTGTCTACATACATACCTACATCAATCCAGCCAGCCATCCGACCATCCATGTGTGCTATATTATATCTACAGACATCTACGTACGTATCTGCCTTTGTTCTTTGTTTACCCGTCTCGTTCTATCCGTCTGCTTGCGGATACGAGGTAGCTCAGAATCTCACTAGTCTCGAAGAAAGCGGAACCGGCCTATGGTGTCAAGTTTCTGGTTGAGTACCACACTCAGTCTTGAAAATAGACGGCGGCCAGCTAGTGGTACTCATCTCTGCCATTCCAACTTCCGAGTTTGTAGCAGGTTATGGCATGCGAAAAGTCCTACACCAGTATCGCAGCGTCACTTCCCACCTGCTCCTCGGCTGCTTGCCTAGCAGCGTCCGCTTTCGCGATGGCCTCCTCCTTGTCGGCCGGATACAAGCTGGGCATCTTCATGCACCACGTGTACTTGTCCAGTGCACGCTATTAACATTGCTGTCCGTCTTTGCACATTGACCACATTGACGCCATTATTTACCCGCTAAAGAATACCGCCTCGGCTTTCTTCTTGGTCGCTTCGGCGTCCTTAATGGCCTTCGCCTTGTCGGCTGTGGCCTGACAAGTCCATGCAGGCCTGAGACTTCGGTAGACAAGCCGTGATCTGTTTAAAGAAGACATCAATATGTCGCCAGAAACTTCCTGCATAAAAAGTATTAGTGCCGCAACATAGAGAATCACAAACAAGCGACCACGGCCCTTTTACGCTCTGCACCTGCTCAGCATGGCCTTGCCCCAGCCCCACCGAAGACCTAAGGCCCGAAATTTCCATGAGACGGGCACACGATTTCATGATACTTGCAGGTGTGGAAGTGATCCAGCACCGGCAGACCTGCCTTCTCAGTCTTGTCCTCCGCTTCTCGGAGCTTCTTCTCAGCATACTGCTCGAATTCGTCCCTTGGCAACCAGATTCCGGTGACGAGCAGAAGCATGTCTGTAACTTCCCGGAAAATGCTCATCTTGCTGCACTATTCCAGTGGCACGTGCGGGCAAAGTCGTAGAGTGCAGATCTGAAGGCTCGTTCAATGAACTACGACCTCATGCCTTCATGCTTCATGCGCCAATTCAGATGCGATTCGACTCTTGCTGGATGAACTTCTTCTCTTCCTGGGCGACCTGGGTCGCACGGACAGGAAGATCGTGGCAGCTGCTCGCAGCTGCAAGAGGGCCCAGTCCTCGAGGTCCTCAGAGAGCTTCTCGATGTCCTTCTCTCTGCCTGAGCCACAGCCACTAACAGTTGCATCGAATCTTGGCACACGGGTGTTTCGGAGCTAAGATCCGCTGCTGTTCAGGCTTGCTGAAAGGCTTTGAAGCTCTTTCGCGAGCTCCTCGTTCTCACTGGTTGAGACCTGCTCTGCACACACTCTGCACGCGACACAGCAGCTTAGCACCAGCAGGCCTCCAGTTGCTTGGACAGCTTCTTCTCCTGACGGAGTTATCAAAGATCAAAAAGCAAAGAGGCTGCCTTGCATACCGAAAACAGTCGAAAGACTAATCGAGGCAAGGCACGTTTTCAGCGACGATCTCAAGCTGGCCTTGGGTGGAAAGTCTACATATTTGCATGTTGCTTATTACACATATTAACATACATCTACATATACAAGCATAGACGGATAGCTAGATCCACTTGGATAGCTAGATAGGAATGTCACGGAATAGGTGCAGAAGTTGCTCACTGATGCCTGCAGCTGCTCCTCGTGGGTGCTTACCAGCTGTGACTAGCTGGATGTATACATAGTCGGAAGAACAGCCCACAGGGAGGCTGAAGCCGGACGAGCTGTAAGATCCTGGCTAATCCGAGCGAGCAATTTCTGATCTTCCTCCTCCATCACGGGCAATCGCTCCTCCAGCTCCTGCCCGCGCACGGAGAGCAAGTCAGGTTCAGCGACAGTAGTCCACAACCCTGCAGGCCTGAAGGGCCTCAATGCGTTCTTTCAGTTCGGTTCCGACACCTGGGCGGAGGATTCGTGAGTCTCTGTATCTTCAAGGAATGTTGTCTAATTCGCCAAGGCCCCCGGCGAACCTCTTCCGCAATCGGGGCCTAGGGGCGGCAGTCCAAGTGGCCAGGACCAGTGCTCCAGGCCTTCACTCGGACCTCCATCTTCTTCTGAATCTGCGCCGTTTGCCGCTCCATCTCGGCAATCATCTTCTCTTGCCTGCAATCCGTCAGACTCAGACAAAACACACGGGAAAATGCAGAAAGGAATTCGCCTCGCCTCTTTTTCTGCGCTGCTAGGCATTCTAGGGCCTCTTCCAGCTCCGCCTGCCAAGCGCACCCCACCACCGCATTGGAATCAAGCACAAGCAACATCGAGTCGACTGAGACCTTGTGGCTTCCGAAGAATTCTCGGATTCCCTTCAAAGCTTCTTCGCCGCCGTCTTGGCCTTGTTCACCCGCGAGCAGCACTGCATCACACAGTGTCCGCACGGAGTCTGTTTCCTCGTGCTTCACGTGGAACTGGGCTCCAAGGCTTGCAATGGAGGCAACATGCCTGACCAATCAACAGTGTATGCAGCTTTTCCAAAGCCCACTTTCGCAGAAACACTCCTTACAAAAAGGCACCGCCTGTGCCTAGCTGTGCCTACACGCGCTTGCAGTAAGACAGTGACGAAGCATGCTTTCTTCTGAACTTCGCACTGAATTAGGATCATTGCTCGCCCCTTCTCATGGTGCAAGGCCCCGGCTGCATCTTGGTGGAACCACCGAGGCACAAACCGGCTCAACTCTTGACCGGCTGCATCTTGAACCGGTCCCGGAGGCGGTTGGGGCGGAGCCGCCTTCAATTGACTGCAACGTCACGAGTGACATACTGGGCGCAAGTTAGCCCTCACCGAATCTACACTTAGACACGAAGGTCTTCTCACCTTTGGACTAGCATTGGCGTTCACGCGTTTGGGCGTCTCATCAAACATGACCGTGCTCAGACAAGGCCGAGTGGAAATGTGCCTCTGATTTCTGCCCTCGTGAAATCTAGATTCTGATCCCTTCCAGATTCGACTCCGCTCAACCCAAAACCCCCGGTTCAGGCCTTTTCCGGATCAGGCTTCCCGGGCATGGCCTGGCAGCTAGCACGGTTCGGAAGCCCAGCACACAGGGAGGAAGGAGGAAGCTCTCACACACTCCTTTTGTTTGCGCATTGGTTTCGGACAAGCTTCAGCAGTATAGCAGGTCCCAGAGAGCCCGCCCAACGTCTTTGTTGGCCTGCTTCTTCAAAGCCGTCAGCTGCTGCTCCGCTTCTGCATAGGCCCGACAGGGATCGTCATCAGCTCGCCAGAGGAGCTTCAAGTCAGCAATCAAAGTCAACGTCTCTGATTCGTGACCCCGCAGGCTCTCAAGGGCTTTGACCAGCAGGGACACCCACCTTTGACGCTGAGGCTTCGCGAGTGTACGTACAACGTTGTCAAGGTGACCCGTGCACTGCATTACCTGTGTCAAGGTCGCTTGGCTCATTCCGGTGGACTCTGACAGCAGGTTTTCCATCAGCGTCAACATGGCATCTGCAATCATTTGCTGCACAAACCGGAGGCCACCTTTACCATAGTTACGAACAATGTAATGCGCAGACGTCCTCATGGATGCGTCCTCGTCGGCACAGTGCCGAAGCAGGTCGCGGAGGTTGGGACAGACAATGTCGAATGCATCATTTTCTGCAAAATGGGTTTCTCTCGTTCTCGCCAGCCGCATACACCACCACTGACCTGAAGCTAAAACAGCAGACTAAATTCCTGAAACACGGTGTCACTGTGGATCATGCTGATGGGTCAAGACGCAGTCATAGTACTTTATCTGCTCGGGGTCGTTTCCGCAGACGTCGGCATCGAAGTTAGGGCCAGCGAGTCCAAGCTTTGTAGAAAAATCGAGAATTGCTTCGGACCTGCTCAGTGGTCTCGTGATATCTCGTGACGCTTGCTTTCAAGTTGTGATCTATCTGGCTGCTGACCATGCCGGGACCCGGGAGCGCGGCCTGTCCAACCTGCCCATTTCAGCAACGTGCCGTAGCAAAACCTAAGGTTGCGCAGACGAGCATCGAAGTCTTCCCACCGCATCTTCTCAGAACGTTGCGCATGGCATTCTGCACAAAGCCCCCTGCCCTGGGACTTCGGGTCTGCCGCGATGTCACACGCCACACCAGAATGTCATCCACCTGGGGGACTCATACAGGCGCTCGTCCGGAAGATTCTCCCAGCTGCTGCACATGCACTACCCTTCATGGTGTATCATCGCCAGCCACTGGCGTTTCAGGCAAGATGCAGTGAGGTACTGCAACAGGCTGGGCCTCGCGGCTTGCTCAGAAAGCTGCACTTGCCCGGATTCTTTCGCGTGCACCCATGCTCCGATTATGCTAGAGGCCAAGTTGCAAGATGAGGCATGAAGGGTCCAGACTCACGGCATCCGTTGCACGACAAGCCATCCTCATCTGAGAGTGGTCCTTCGCACAGCTGCACAGTTGGACAAGTGGGCAAATGATTTGGGTATCTTTGATGTTGGGTATCTTTAATGAGAGTAAAGCCCTACACGCGACGTGTGAAGTCATCTATGGTTCACTCGAGCAAGATTTGGCGATGTCGTCGTACGCGGATGATGTCAGTAGGATTTCATTGGGACAGTGCAATTGGGCCAGGTATTTGGGGGAACGCGTCCATTATGCAGGGAGGACACACGAAGAAGTTGCGCTACGCATTCAAGCAGCAAAGGTGGCTTGGACTCGGATGGGGTCTTTTTGGTTGCGTCCAGGGGCTACGGGCAGTAAGCTTCTGGTATACTAGGCACTTGTGCAGTCAACCTTATTGTCAGGTATCGAAGTGTTGGTTTTGGAAAAACAAAAAATATCAGCAAGTCTACAGGTTCATTTTGCGTACAGGACGGAAGTTGCTTCAAGGACGTGCTGGCGACAAGACAAGGAACTACAAAGTGACCGCCGCGTGCTGTATACAGCATGTACCTCGAAAGCAGTTTGCAAGATGTTGGGATTGTGCCCAGCTCATCACATCTTGAGCTCCGAGTGCGGAGACTACGATGGTATCAGCAACTGGCTTCACACATTAGCAAACACGTTTGTTGTTCTTATGGCCATGTTCGGCCGATTGGGATGCGATGATGTCGACACTGTTGATGCAGATGGTAAGATCCGCTCTTCTGCAAACCCATGGGCGCTTCAGCTTCAAGAAGATATGCAAGCACTGGAGGCGATTGATGACGTGCAATCTTTATTGGATCGTTTACATGGGTGCATGGTTCTTGTGTTCACACAATATTCCGGGACTTTGTGGCTGTGGATGTGTCTGCATTGCGGGGGATGTTTGCACCCAATTGCATTCCGACACCTGGGTGGGTTCCACCCCCAGTGGAAGAAGTACTCGATGATGATGTTGACGATGTCGCGTATAGTTTCATTTGTGATGGTACTCTCGCGGATGGAAGGCCATGCCAAGAAGGTTTTCCGACAGCGCAGGCTCTGGCGGTGCACAACAGTTCGACGAAAGGTGGAACACACGACAACCTGTCCGATATCTCCAAGGTTTCGATTACAAACAAATGTCCATGGTGCAAAAATGTTTGTTCGTCAGTGTTATCGGCTAGAAGCCATATTCGGAGAACGCTGGGACGGGTTATTGTGGTGGTACTGGCAGTCATGTCGTTCCGATGTCCAACAACCAAAGAGCTTGCAATGTCGCGTTTGCGAGGTGTGAATTGATTCTGTGGATGACTTGCTGGGTCATGTTTCATCTCATGTTGTATTGCCGATTCCACATGCCGCAGCATCGGGCCACTGGCGAGCCGAGTAGCTGTGATATTGTCAGTGCGGGTGAAATGTCATCAGCTTTGACCCCACGGCGCAAACACGGAATTCTGCAAGCTCGGATGGCGGTGTGAGCAAAAAGGTGGCTACCAGTAGCGACAAGTTCCTCATGAAAGTCATGCAGCTGTTGACCAAGCTCTGTCTAAAGAACGCAATGGACGTCAGAGAGTTACAGGCAGCTACACTGCTCACGATTCAGATGCCCAAGGACCCCGATTTCATCCTTGATCGCGGCAACCCGCAATTACAATGATGGGCTGTTAAAGGTGAAATCCTCGGGAGGGCAAGCTCCCGTAGGACAGCTACATTGCCACGCATGGATTGCGATGATGCTTGAGACGTTGTTGCAGCAAACTTCCGTTACAACCGCGGCGCGGGAAGCAGTGCAAAAGCATGTACATGACTATTGCGGCAGTCCAGCAATGGTGGCTACGGTTGTTCATGTTTGCCGCGTCAAGAAATGGTTCGATCAGTCCAAGATGAAGGTGTGCATTGCGGTTAGCGAGCATGTCAAGCCGGTTATCTCCATCCTGGAAAATCTTTTGCGTGAGGAAGGGTGGAAAAAACTCTCCATGGCCAAGCTCCGAAATGAGGCCTCGAGCGAGACCTGCAGACATATCTTGAGCAACTCGATGACATGCTGAAGTGATGAATGCATTGTCGTGTGAAGCAGTCCTGATGCTCTTGTGACGGGCTCGGCCCCGCTTCGCTCATGATGGCTCGTCTCACTTTTGACGGGTGAGGGGCAAGCCTTGTTACTATTGAGCCCATGCCCTCTTGGATACACGGAGGGCGCGCGATGCGTACTGTCAAGGCAACAGTCCTAATCCTGACCCCCTAATATTAAAC